AGTAAGTTCTGTCTCAAGAATTGAAGTTTTCGTTTGGACCATTAGGACACTCGAGCTGTCCTCTATTCCATTGAAGGTCCACACTATTCCATTCGAATAGTGATCCTTTCTCAAGTCAATGTTGTTTTCTCCTGTTTTCGAGATAAGACAGCTCTACTCTCTTGATATTTCGTGTCGAGAAATTGCGAACAGCAATTTCCTGCCTTTTTCTTGAGTAGTTTCCCGCAATTGTTAATTCGGGTGTTCTGATCTCTGACTTTTTCACTTTTCAGTTGGTTCGAGAAAATTGAGCATGACATGCTCAATTCGAATTTTTTAAAATTAAAATTTCACTTCAAAATTGCGTATTTCTCAAGGTCAAACCCCTAGACATGACCGACTGGCACACTAGTTGGGGTAACAACAAATATATTTTACTGTGTATCGACCGCTACACTAAGTTCCCTTCGGCCAAGATTGTAAATAACACCTCTACAAGAAACGTAATTTCATTCCTAAACGATTACTGTCATCTTCACGGTTTCCCAAGAAAAATTAGAGTCGACCATGGGTCATGCTTTCTTTCACACGATTTCAAAAACTTCTGCGATAAATTTAATATAGAAATCATCTACTGCACGGTCGGAGACCACAGATCCAACGGGCTAGTGGAAAAACTTGTGCACACAATCAAATCGAAATTACTGGCAATGTCATACGAAATACCGAAACCATCTCTAAACGATTCGATCGAGAAAATCATCTGGAATCTGAGAATCTCAAAGCAAACGGCGATCGGCTGTACCCCGTTTGAAAAGCACTTTAATAGAGTAGCGAACACTAGGTGGAAAAATCTCATGTCCAAAATTGAACATTTAGATAAAGGAAAGGCTATCTTGTCAAAAGAGCGGGCTACCAACTGGGAACTACACGACGGGGCAGAGGATGGCTATCTGGACGAGGAAAGGGACAGCACTTCGGACCCAGAAGAAAACTTGCCATTATCTAGGACATTCAGACTTCGCACAAACACGGACGACAATACCCGAACGTTAGATCCACTGGGAAAAAGAAAAGCAGTAACGGGAGGTAATTTATATAGAAAGGCGTCTAACAGAAAAAATGGGGATCCTTACTTTAATCTAGTTAAGAAGGATATAATCGATTCTTCAGAGCACACTGTTACCCTCGACAATGGCCACGTTTTACGTAAATCGGATCTAGCTATAAAAGGAAAAATACTCCCGGGGCCCAAAAAGATAATAGTTAATCAGACACCCACTGGGCATAATACTCATATTCATTCGAGTTTAGCTGGGAAAAGGAAACTCTCCCCACCGAAGAAAACTGGAACATCATCAGCTGTCCATTCGAGACAAGGCACCCCGAGAACGGAGATTATCAGTCCAGGGACTAGCGCACCGACTGCGAGCTCGGCCACTCAAGACGCTCCTAAACTTTCTTCAGGTTCATCTTCCTTAAACCTAGATTCGTGGGACGGGATAATCGAGGATTACTTTGACGATGTGACCAATAATAACGTACCCCAAAACCCCTACTCCGAGACTAATCAGGGCTTAAGTATTACAGGTCATGCCGAAACCCCACCTTCGAGCTCAGAAGGGTCAGCAAACAACGACCCACGGGAGATTGTAGTCATACACCACGCGAATACTAGCGAAGGATCTCAGGATAACCCTATTATTATAGACAGTATTCCGGAACAGACCACCAGTGTGACTCCAAAGACCAGAAACTCCAGACCACGTAGAAATGTGGGCCCCCCACAGTTTTACGGAAAACGACGATTTATCGACGTGGTGCAAGAGAAAGATGACCAAGGGGCGATAACGTGTGTATTCTCGCAGGCACCGGAATTGTCTACTTTCTCTGTCAACTCTCCTTCGGATCTTCTGACTCCATTAGCGGAGGCACCCCCTAGACAGATCTTAGTCGCAGAAACTACTTTGACATGGTCTTCAAGAAACTCCCTCCCGACGGGCAAACTTGCGGCATCAACTACGAAGACCCAACTTCTAGAAAATTCTTCGACCACCAATTTATCTGACCCGACCTCGAAAGACTCTTCATTAGAGATGGATAACTACAGCGAGATCTCATCAACTATAGATTCAGATGTGAGAGCTAAACTGGATGAGTTCGAGGAACAATTCTTATAATCGTCATATCAAACCAAACTTATCAAAACAATTTTATAATCTATATTTTCGCCGGACTTTTTAATTTTACCTGTAGATACAATTGTACATGTTAATGTACATGTTGTGGATTAGTTTTACTTAGTTAGTTACCGTATTCTGTAAAAAAAAAATTGTAATTCTGTATAGACACCCTGTACATTGCTACATTCTCTTTCAATTTGTGGATTTTATTTTGCCGCTGTATATTTACCCTCTGGGCGCAGTTTGTAAAATTTCTTCCATCTTCTGAGGGGGAAAAAGGGTGTGTATAGAGTTATATAGTTAGTTTGTAGTTTCATTTTTTTTCCCGGCGGGAAATGTTGTGATTTGTTTTTAGTTTGTTATAATGACCTTCGGTATTTTAATTAATACCAGTTTAGTTACGACCATCAGTCGATATGAACGGAAGTTCAGTTGTCCTTTTTAACGTCTTAATTCAAATACTTCCTTTTAACGTTTTAACACTTAAGCTTATGTACATACCTTGTACATAGACACTAGAATTAGAACAGTTTATTAATACGTTTTCAATCTAAAACATATTAATTCTAAATTTCTATTGCTCAAGCTGTACGAAACTATTTTCTTATCGGATCAATGGGTGTCTACCCTAACCTACTGGATTTTTCACTTCTTGGTAATTTTAAGTTTTGCTATCTTAAGCTAGCATTTGTTATTCTCGTGTTTTTATTAGAATGAAATTCTTTTGAGGCAAATTGGGACATAAAACTTAAGAGAGATTTTGTTTTCAATTTTTTTTTCACCGAAGTGGGTTTCGTGATTAACAAGTCTTTCGTTGTAACGCAAGTGGTACATAGCTCTACTTTGCCTCTGTGTAGAAAATAAGCATCACAAAATTTGATTTTTTTCAGCTTTGTTTTATGATCCTCTTTCTTTTCTGACTTTCAATAAAATCAATGTGCTGGTTTCATTTTGGGTCATTTTTTGGTGTGTTTTAATTTGCGTTTACGCTTTTAAAGACAAAATAAAAACGCATTAAAAGACAAACAAACCGAACACAAAACACCATAACATTTGTAGGAGTGGTCGCTTTTGAAATATTTTTTTTGAGCACAAAGCAACACTATTTTGTCGGTTGCAAAATGTCTTCAAAAATAAGTAGTTCTATTAAATTTTTCAAACAACCTCCTTGGCTTTCAATAACTTTTTCACAAACCGTCACGCAAAATGTTGTGCCCAGAATTTTTCAAGTAACTGGGCGGCTTTGACTTTGTCTGAAACCTTTTCCAACTGAGCATTCCTTCTATACAAGCACAGCGTTGAATGCCAAAAAATCTGAAGATTCGCGTTTTTCATTTGAAATTTTTTATACATTTAAGTTCGAAATTGCCTTTTTTGGAGAAAATAACAGAATGTTTATGCTTGGGGTGATTTTTATTCAAGACAATTTTGATTTTTGTCATGTAATTTTTCGCCAAATCTGAGACATACATTACGAGGCCAAACTGTGCATTCTGTGAAATGTACGTGGATTCCGCAGGAGGCGAAAATCAGATATGTCGCGGAATCCGGAACATTACTATTTTTCATTGATTTTCTCTGCTATTTTGGTTTCCAAGAACAAATAGCTAAAACACTGTGTTGCTCAAAATCGCTCCAAAAAAGGCAACTTTGCGGAATTTGCAACAAAATGCGTGGAATCCGGAACCAGTTTGTGGAATCCATGAACAAATAATAATATATGTGTTTAGTAAACTTAAGCTGTCGCGGAATCTGCAACTGTAAGTGGAATCCGTAAATTATAAGCGGATTCCGCAAACTCTAAGCGGAATCCGCAAATTGTAAGCGGAATCCGCAGATTGTAAGCGGAATCCGCATAAATTTGTAGAAACTACTTACAATTGCGAAATCCGGAACAACTACCTATATTCGCTCGTTGCAGAACCCGCAACAAAATCAAGGTGCCGACAAAATTTACGTTACAGCTTTTTGTACGCGGAATCCACTGAAATTTTGTAAATGGAATCCACTTACATTTTGGAACAAGTTTCAGGACTTGTCTCTGGAATCCAGGAAAGAAAAGACACAAAATTATCCAGTGCACCGTTTGGCCTCGTAATGTAATTTTTTAAACTGTCATTGTTTTTCATGATGTTGTGAGAGTTTAATTTTTGGAGTTTAATAACCAACAATCATTACACATTCCAAATTCATGTTTTATGTTCAGATTTTTTTGCTCAGACTTTTGGCGCGACTATGAAATTTGAGCCTGGATCCGTGTCTGGCTTGACTTATAAAGTCTCGAACCGTGTCCTGAACCAATAAAAATTGCTTTGCCTCCGGTTAAAATTAATGGATTAAATTGTTGTTCTCGACCGTTGCTTAAAACTTCGTATTCTGTTATTTTAAAATGACTTGTTGGACTATTTGTTTTCGGCCGAGGTTTCTTTATATAAAAATATGGCTGAAATTTTTTGATCAGAAAATTTTGTGGGCCAATGAAAATTATCGCTTTCACGACGTTTTTGAAACCCTGATCAATATTCATATAATATACGGCAGCTTGGTTTGGCAAGATTTCAACATACCAAGATCTCTAATAACTGAACTTCAAAAAATTAAAGCTCTCTTTATTCAAATTATTACCCTTGCAATCGGGTATTGCAATCGGGTACTAGATCTTGCCCCGTAAAAAATTTTGTTGACAGAATGGTCAATATTGTAAATGATAAATTTAGGTTGAGTTCAGAATGATTTAGTTTAACACTATGATTTGACAAACATTTTCTGCAATATTTTAACTATTTTTTCGAAATGTTTCAACAAACATAACAGGATGTTTAGAAACTGCAGTTTTAGATAATCACACGAACTGCAATTGTATCCTGAATATTCCAAAAATTGAATTTCATCGACAAGTTAACCCTCACTTGCTCTGTGGCGAGGACTTGACAAACTTTCTCAATGACTTGAACAAAGTAAACCGCAGGCATCTGCCCGAAGAATCTGAATTGCGTTGTTTATTGACTCCAAAATTGCGACAAAGTATTACCAACTGCGCCGGAAACTTCCAGAGATCCGAGGGGCGATTCGAGGAACAAACAATCAGTGGTTCGACTAGCAGAGCAGTCGATTTGGCGCACTTATTTGAGGTTCACTGGAATAGAGAAATTCACGAGCGAATGCATGACCTTCCTAGAGCAATCAGAACTATAGTAGATATCCTGCAAAATGAAACAGAAAATAAAAATGATGATCTTGAGGCTTGGAATCAGCAGCTGAGGGAGTATGCCGATGATTTGAAATATATAGTCGATGAATTGGAGCGAAGGTCTAAGTACGTTACTTGGAGCAATTAATTTCAGCAAGCAATTAAGTTTGAACTATATGGGCATGGAGTTGAGGGCTGTAAGCTCAAAACTCATTGTTTTTTATTGAAAATACTCGTGTCTCAAATTACCTACCTTTATACGAGAAAAGTAGTTTAACACATATATTATAACCGCAATTTCAATTATTATAAATTTAACTTTGTAGTTTTTACTAAAAATCTTGTCTGAAAAATTTTATTTCCCATTCTCGGATCTAATTAACAATCTCAACCCTATGATAACTCCTAAAGAATCTCCGCCTCTCTAAATAAAATAGTAAATTGGCACATAAGTTTTCTATTGAGAATCCTAGTTTTGCTGCTTTCTGATAGTTCAGAAAGTCCACGAATTGAATCTACTTAACAATATTTTCCATTTCTTTTTAGGGGGAGGGGGGGGGGTGTTACGTAAACCTTTAATCTCATCAGAAGAACAAGAAAAACTTCGAACGAAGTCAGTTCTGATCTGTACGTTATCAATGACAGTCAGCGTTGAACCAAAATTATTTTCTTATATGTTTTTCTGCGCTGGACTTTCATGGATAAAACTCGATTATTTTAGGTGTTCATTGTCATTCTCCATAATTAAAACCGATTGATACAATTGATTAGAAATGGAAAATAATCTTCTTTTTTAATGACAAAAAATCAATTTTAACAGATTATAATGGATTATTTACACTTGCGACATTTTCCCCAGTAAATATCTACAAGAAATTGAACTTGCTTGAACCTTAACAACTTCTACGATTCTTCCCACTTGGCGTGGAGGTATCCCGGTTGCCCTGTATCCTAGGGTCTGAAAAGTCCTTTTTGCAGTATGTACAAATATGAAAGTTTTTTTTCCTGGTAAAAATAGAATGATGGCACTTTCGTTGGTCTGCTCAAAATTTGTCGGCTTAAGTGTGCATGAATGATTTTTAGCTGTAGGCAAGTATGATGGTATTTGCGAGTAATTTTCAATGTAGTTTCAGGGGGGATTTAAAATTTTCTCAACATAAAAAAATATATCTTATTTTTTGGCTCAGCTAGTTTCTGCTGTAGGATTGTCGGCTTTGATTCCAGCTTGTTTGCCTAGAAATCTTGTGTGATAAAAGCAAGTTTTATCATAATGTATGGGATGAGGTTTTTCATTGGTCCATTTTTTTGATAGGCTTTGGAAACGTTTTTCACTTTTTTCTTTTCCAGTCTTTTTGATTTTTCTCAAGAACTACCCTTTAAAATTGACTTTAACTGGCGAGAAAGGCTTGTGGAAACCCCCCTGCTTTAGCGACACTTCCAAAGTTTTGTACTGAAAAAAATTTTGCCTACGGAAAAATCTTAAGCTTGCTTGATCGTAGTGGTTGTGTTTCACGTCTGTTTTTCTCAGATTGGGTTTTTCATACTTCCAAAAAAATTATGATTTTTTAAATGAAAACTATTCCATTGGTATTTTTGTTTTCAGATCAATTGGCGTCTAAACACGTGTTGAGGCTTAGTGTCCGCTCAAAAAAAAATAAAAACTTGCTCAATGCTAGTTCTTGTGTTTCCATTGCTTTCCTGAGATTCAGTTTTTTTCATGTTCGTATGTTCTTTCCTGAGATTTCATGTTCTTTCCTGAGATTCAGTTTTTTTCATGAGTTCCTATGACATCCACTGCTTTTGGTGTTTTTGTTTTCGAATTAAATGGCGTCTAACGACGTTTTTTTGCCTTTGTGGAGGCTCAGAAAGTACTTAAAGCTTTCTTAATGCTAGTGGTTGTGTTTTTCGTTGCTTTTCTGATATTGATTTTTTCGTAATTCCAAAAATTTGCTGACGTTTTTATGACAAAAATTTCTTTAGATATTTTTGTTTTCGGATCAGTTGGCGTCCAACCAGAAATTCTTGGCTTGTTGAACGCTCGAAAAAACTAAAAGCTTGCATAATGATAGATGTTGTGTTTCTTGTCAGTTTTTCTGAGATTGAGTTTTCGTGTTTCCAAAAATATGTTGAATTTTTTTATGACAACAATTTTTTTGGTAAGTTTTTGTTTTCAGATCAATCGGTGTCAAAGCACGAGTTGTTGGCATAATGGAAGTCTGGATTTTAATAAGAGCTGGCCTTATCTTATTGATTTTGCTTTCGCCTGTTTTTCTTAGATTGAAGTTTCGTACTTTCAAAAACATGTTGAAGTTTTCTATGAGAACCATTCACTTTGGCAATGTTGTGTTCGGATCGATTGGCGTCTAACCACGTGTTGTTTGGCTAGCCGACACTCTATGGAAGTGGTGGAAAATTTATTGTGGTGGAAGTGTTTCTCGTCTGTTTTTTTTGTGATTGTTTTTTTTTCATATTTCCAGTTGTTTTTAATTTTTTCCCAATTAATTATTTCTATCTTGCAATGGTACCCTTTCGTTGCATCGCAAAATATGCATAGCTTTTTTTGCCTCTTTGTTGAAATTTTTAAAACAGGTTGATCCAGCAATAGCTGGGACACTAGTTTACTGCTAACAGAATGTGTCGCAGTTGCCAGGACGCGAGACTCGTAATCAACAGGTCGGAGATTCAAATCCGCATCCTTGAAATCATTTTTTTGTCTAATTTTTGCTGCATAGCATTGGCAGTTTGACAAAAACTGCTGCTTTATTGATCCCTTGTGTTAGTAAAATTACAAGTGGTTGTGGAGCAGATATGAAAACATGATTTTCTTAATCTTGCAAACTTTTTTCTCAAAGTGTTTTTTTAATTGATTTTGTTTCCCTGTTTAGAGCTGTTATTTGCAATTTCTTTGCTTCTCTTTATCCGAAAAAAAATCAAATGGAGATGTAATCTCCCCAGCAAAAGCGTATTATCCGTACTTTCGATAGGAATCAGCTAGGGCTTGGAAAGTCAGCAGATTGGATTCCGGTACAGAATTTTTATCAGACTTACCTATTTTCCTCTTTGCATTTTTTGACCCATTCAGAGCTTTTTTCTGCCGTTTTATCGCTTGTGTTTGCGAAGTACAGCTTCGCTTCTGAGTTCAAGTTTTCTTTTCTTGTATTCTTGCTTTTTTGAACTCCTTTTCAATCTATATTTATATTTTTTCGAAATGCATTTTGCCGCTGTGTTTAGGAGTAAATGTTTACAAGTCAGCATCATTTTGTTATTTTTTCAACAAGGAAACTACTAAGGTTTTCTGCTGACTGGAGAATTGTCTCGTAAATTTCAATTCATTTATGTATGCACTTAGGTATGTATGCATTTTTTGAGCTCATTTCGAGTTCATTTGCAAAAAAATGATAAATTGCTCTCTCCAATGGCGGTAATTGCGCAAAAAAGTGATCGCCTTCTTGCTTCGAAAGTAGATTTTTATTGAAGAAAGGCTGGACTGAAAAGCTGAATACAAAAATAATTTACTTTCTGTTTTTTCTCAAATGTAAGGTTTCTTCGATTGGTACGTTTCGGTTAATAATTTATTGGCTTGGTTACCTCCATATGCGTCGTATGAGAGCAGGAACAGCTGATGATTTCATCCTTTTAGGAAAATTTTAGCCAAAATTTCGAAATTTATTTTTTGCGGCTCGATATTTTCTGTCGTATTTTGTTCTCGGCTCAATCGGAGTCCATTTTTTTTTATGGTTTTGATTGTCTGTCTCTAAAAGCATTGTATAAAAGACAAAATAAATTTTTATGCTTGAGTGTAGCCTAAAGCTTCAAAATTTTAAACGAGTTCTAATGCTTAAGTTTTTGACATCATTTTTTTGGCTCAATGACCGTAAAATCCAATATTGCTAACTTAGTTGCCGCTTTGTAGTTTTTATTCATATGATTCTTCAATACTGGAGCTTGTTTTTTTATTGTTTTCTTCAAAAGGATTTTAATTTGTGACGAACTTCAAGTTGTTTTTTTTACAATGGTGATCTTGAAGTTTTGTTTCGATAAAAATCCTAAAAATTAATAATCCCCAAATCGGTTTTTTTTTGACAACTCAACTTATGTTTCTTCTTAAATTTATTGCAAACTTCAATGCTTAAGGGAAAGTATATTACGCTTTTCATTTGAAATAGTGCTACAAACGTGAATAAACTTTTAACTTTTTTTAAAAAATTCATGTAAGAAAAACGTTTACTTTCGAATCTACTTTTTATCAAGCTGGGCTGCTCTAATAGAAACTTAAAACAAAAAGAAATTCGTAAATATTAAAGACGCTCAGAAAATACATAGAGCTTTGTTAATGCTAGTGGCTAATTAAGCTTTCTTAATGCTAATGCTGCTTTTTCGTCTGCGTTTCTGAATTTTTCGTAATTCCAATTGACGTAATTTGCTGACGTTTTTATGACAAACATGACAAACGTTTCTTTGGATATTTTTGTTTTCGGAGCAGTTGGCGCCCAACCAGAACTTTTTGGCTTGTTGAACGCTCGAGAATAACTAAAAGCTTGCATAATGATAGTTGTTGTGTTTCTTGTCAGTTTTTATGGGATTGAATTTTCGTGTTTCCAAAAATATGTTGAATTTTTTTATGACAACAATTTTTTTGGTATGTTTTTGCTTTCGGATCAGTTGGTGTTGAACCACGATTTGTTGGTATAATGCAAGATCGGAAATTACTAACAGCTTGCCTTATGCTAATAATTTTGCTTTCGCCTGTTTTTCTGAGATTGAAGTTTTCGTACTTCAAAAACATGTTGAAGTTTTATATGAGAACCAATCACTTTGGCAATGTTGTGTTCGGATCGATTGGCGTCTAACCACGTGTTGTTGGGTTAGCGGACACTCGAAACTCTTCTAAGTTTTAATTTATTGTGGTGGATGTGTTTCTTGTCTGTTTTTTTTTGTGATTGATATTTTCATATTTCCATGTATATCTATTTAGATTGAGCATACTTTTCAGACTGAGAAACTGAATTAGAACAATTTTTTGACTAAATATTAGGAGAACTTTTGATATGGGGGAGGGGGAGGGGGAGTTGGCTGCGTTGGTTGCTGGTTTAATTATCTCATTTGCGCTTTTACGGATTAACAAATCAACAATAATCTCTTCGAAATTTTCACAAATTAAAAAATCTTAGACTATTAACTCCCGAAAATTCATGAACACTAAGATTTTTTAATCGGTTTTTATATAATTTTAATTGGTGAAAATTTTGATGAGATTATTGTTGATTTGTTAATGCGAAAAAGCGCAAATGAGATAATTAAACCAGCAACCAACGCAGCCAACTCCTCCTCTCCCTCCCCCATATCAAAAGTTCTCCTAATATTTAGTCAAAAAACTGTTCAAATTCAGTTTCTCAGTCTGAAAAGTATGCTCAATCTAAATAGAGCTTATACATGCGATGAAAAAAAAAACAACAACCCAGCAGTTCAAAATCAAAATATGATTTATTACGGATTTCATAACAAGTAACTAAAAAGTATCATATTTAATGCATCGGGTGTCTATGATCGAATATCAGCGACTTTTGCCAAACTGCTTCTCTGAATAATTTTTCTTGCAGCAAGTTGAACTACTGCATACAATAATCCACCTAGTAGCTCGGCCAGTTCGTATACGGTGAGAATACTCCCTCCTAACATCAAACCGAGGAGTCCCCCCATAGCACTTCCGGCCGAGAATATCTCGTACTTCGGCAGAATAGTCGTTTGTTGTACAATCAGAGAGGAAAAATTGATAACCAACTCGCCGTAGTTTTTCCTCGAGTAATTTCCACTCACTTCTTCGTCCGGCGCCACTGATTTCAAGTATTCTATAAATCCAGGGTTCGGAAACTTAGCAAAGGTTCGTTCAAAATTGTACTTTGTGAAACCACACTGAGGGTTGCAACTTCTCAAGCACCTCTCTTAAACAAGCATGGGTTTTGCTGATTATTATATGGCACCATTAAATCACTTTTTAGAAACAGGTTTGAATCATAACTGGAAATGCCGAGGGATGGCAAAGGCAGTCAAGAAAAAATAAGTAATTTTTGATTGACTAAAAAAGTCGAACTTGGCCGTTTTTGGGGTAAAATTTGGGCTCGAATTTCGCAAAAAAAATGCACTTTAAGAATTCTGCTGAAATTTTTAGCAAAATTTTCTGCATTCATCATTTTTTGTCGAAATTTAACCCAATTTGAGAAAAACGCGTTTTTTAATTTTTTTTATTTTTTATTCGTTTTGTCCGGATAATTTAAACAACAAGTTGATATAAATTATTCGGACAAAACGAATGAAACTTGAAAATTAAAATGCGTTTTTAAAACGCAATGAGTGCGCTGTAAAACAGAAGACCCAAAAATTTTGTGGAGGGGGAGGCTAAGTTCTAGTTTAGATGCGTCATTAGTGAAGTAACCGAGTAGTTGTTCCTGATTGAGTGAACACATAGTCATAGTGAGAGTGCCACATTCCAGAGTGTCATTTGGAAAGAACATCTGGGAGACAGTCACGCATCCACATGTTTCGAACTCTATCTCTGTGTAGCATTCACTCACACATAACATCTGGTTGTAGCCCCTCTCGTAATATTTCAGAACACTGCAAATAAGTGTCTGTCATAGCTATCATGACCAGTGGCGCGCGCAGAAATTTTTTTAGGGGGAGGGTAGCGGTTTTTTGAGAAAAAAAATTGAAAAAATTGCCAACCTTTTTCTTAGGTTGTCCAACTTGAAAAAAAACTGGCTAAAAAAGATAGTTTGAGCATTTTAAAATAATATTTGACCAAAAGTGCGTTTTTTGGCGCGCTCGCCCTCAAATTTAGTTATTTTGGCGCCTAGGGCGCCTTTAAAAAAATTTAGATGTTAGCCAGCCAAATTAGATCTCGTAGAAGTATACCAAAGGCGATCCTTTGAAAAAACTTTGCAACCAAAATTAAAGGATGAGCGTTGGATAACCCCCCCCCCCTCCACCCCCCAACCTTGGCCCCCACCTCGCCACGCTACTGATCATGGCTATTTATTGGGCTAAAGTTTAATGGCTGTAATTGCGGTTCTAAAAAAACTTCAAGCTCTTAAATTCCTCAAGTTATGTCGTTTTTTGAACGTGGTATGGTGAGATAGATATACACGCGTAGAAATTTAAAAAAATAGACAAAATTGACAACAGTTGTCCGCCAAAAAAAAAACAAGAAACTTAAAATGAAGAAAAAAAAAATTTGTTTTAAAATTCTGCAATTTTGTCAAAATGCTTCGGACGAATTTTTTCGTAATTTATTGCAAAGGATGTGGAACCTGATCTAAACTATATTTTATGATTGGATAAATTAAATGTTTTACCAATGTAAAGTATTTAATATTAACCAATCATGATCCATCTAACTAACAACCCACTTATTTGTAAGTGCTGAAGTTACTTGTAATTTCAGCACCAGAGAGATTTGAATTTAACTTAGAAATTAGTTGAACTCTCCCGAGTACTTCAGCAGCCGCAATAAACCAGTATACCCTAGATCTATTGAGCCTAGCAGAGACTAGTTAAACAACCTGAGACTAGATAGTATAAGAGTAAGATTAGGATCGGTATTAGACTAAGAAGTTGCACGAATCTATCCGGCCGAAAATAAGATAGCGTGACGAGCAGACGGTGTACCCTATCCGAAATTACTCTATGAGTTATACACTTCGGTCCTAACTCATCTGGTGCGACCATAAGTCTCGAACAAGACCTTAATAGATTAGAATTAACCAAAATAGATTAGAAATTAGACAAAAACATTTACAAAATGTTATACGACAATAATTTAATCGAAATGTCTCTACGACTCAATAGATCAGAGCCAATATTCCGAACCATAACAGAACTACCCGGAATTGGAAGAAGACCTCGAACCAGAGACGACATACGACAAAGTAGAAACTTGCCATATAGTTATATGATAGTTCGGCAAAAGCCAGAACAAACTTTTATATTTAGAATACTACTCGCAATGAATTTAGATTTCCATTTGCAAACATAAAACCTTGAAGTTAATCTTCAAAATCATTTCAGGCGCTAAACAAAATTAATAATATACAATAACGATTGATAAAAAGATCTCAGATCGTTTTCCCAAAACTCTGCAGTAATATACAAAACATGTTTGAAAAATATTTATTGGAAAATAAAAATAAAAATTAGTAGCATGACAATAAATGGTTAGTAATCATAAATCATCCTGTTGTTCCAGCTTCATCACCTAAAACATAACAGCAATCATGAACTCACTAATATCATAAAACACTAAATCTTTCCTTTACACAAATTTAAATCTTATTAAAACTTAAATTCACTTAATTTTAAAATCAGATCATCAAGGCTTATCCTTGGATCTTAAATCATTTTCTACTTAATTAAATTTCAAATTTGATCATCAAGGCTTATCCTTGGATCAAACAGAACAACTTTGTTCTCCCCCACCCACTTAATTAGTGTCTAACGACCTCAAACGTCGATTCACTATCCAACCCTTTCTAAAGACCTAAGACTAATAGAAATTTTTAAACAAAACTAATCATTCAAATTAGGATAAACAGTGAAGAACTTCGGTTATTCATCCTTCACTTGACCCCCCCTCTTACCAGACCCAGGGTAAATCTTAGACTTAGTAAGTTTAAAATAGTATCTAACGAACTACTCGCGTTCTAATTATACCTGAACCTTGTGGATCGATTTACTATTCACCAACCCTTGAACACAATCACTACCCCTAAGTAAGATTAAGTAAGTTAACACCTTAACTTATACTAGCCACGAGAAAGTAAAAACCATTCTCCGGAATAGATATACTTTTCTCTCCAACCCTGAACAAATAGACCCAGGTTAAGCTAACCAAAAAATCGTAAGGACTAACAGTTTAAGCAATTAGAATTCACTTAACACCCTTTGGCATCCGTCATCTTAAACCTTATGTCATTTAAAAACTTAGGAAATAAACAAACAATCGTATTACACAATTGTGAAATAGATAACAAAAAATACGACCTTGTAATCACACCTCATACACAAACAGTTGGATACATTCGAACAAAACGACAAACACTAAAGAGAAAAATAATAACGAAACAAAGACAAATAACACGAAAAAGATTTTCAAAAAATCGAAACGCATTTTCAGAATCAGAAACCAACAGTTTAGACGAACTTTACAAACTGAAAGAATCAATAGATAAAAATTGCCCAATTCACGATCAATTATATTTCTCTGACTCAGAAACAACTTCAAATTCATCACAAAGAGGAAAAAGAAGAATAAAAAAGCAGTATAAACACAAACCTGTACATTTATACAATTGGAATCAACCAATTCGACACATTAATAATTACATATTAACAGTCATCGAACGAAAAAATGAGCTCAACGCACACCCCAGGTGACGAAACTCCAGATGATGATGAAATCTTCCCTTTTATAGTAGATGCAACTACTGATAGAGGACAACATATATTTTGTAAAAATTTACTCATAAATTTATTTGAACCCGGAATCAGTCCATGTAAAACAGAGTTCCCAGATGTAAAAATCAAAAGACAAATCATAGACCACTACCTAAAAGATATATGTAACATAACACAACAGTATGGAATCTACTCCATAGAATTCACCTCACCAAACCACAATCATAGGAAATATACAATTCAAACAGACGATCTTGATTTAGAATTTTCAAAAGTATTTTCAGAATATATAAAAAGCATCCAATACCATAACTCACAAAGAGCAAACTCCATTTTCACCAATGAAGTTTTCGCAATAATATATAGTTATATTTCGATATTAGAAAACGAAATCCCAATAACAAATGTCTCACCGACAGAAACATCTAAACATTTAAGAGTACGACATGAAATCACACTACTTTCTAGTTATTTAAACATTATTAAAGAAAATTTCACGAAAGACGAAGTTTCACAGCATACAAAACACGATCTACAAAAAATTTTGGCATGGTTCATAATAGATTATTTCACACACAATATTGATTTAATTGCACAAGCAAGAAAAAATTTTAGACCCCAAAATTCGAACGATGATACCGCTATCACAGAACAATCAGATTATGTTTGGGACCCCGAATGGTCTCATCCCGCATTTATAAGCTTTCCACAATCAATCTCAAGTCAAGCAATAAGTACAATATCTTACATAAGAGATTATGTAAGAGTAATACCCTTAACCATTGATGCAACACCATTAAACTATAATACATTTTGCCCGATACACAAAATAATAGTTTAAACTCTACAGTCATACACAACGAAAACCTCAATGGAACTAGGAATCTTACTCAACAAGATATCCAGACACCATCACACTTCATAAATGAAGAAATTGTACACACAACAACTACACAACAAAGTATTTCACCAATACGCCCAAATTTGACAACACCAAGAAATACAAATCCTTCACAAACACAGGTAACCTTACAATCAACCGTTAAACCTTCGGTTGCTCCAAAATATTCACATATGGATTACCAAACATACAGACCCATGACAATACCATCAAAAACACGCAAAACGTTCACTAGAAACAACTTTGCAGACCATAATTATAATTATACACATCCATTAAAAACAAATTACCAACCACGAAGAAATTTTAACCAGCATACAAGATCTCGAAACTGGGATAACCCAATGGCCCAACCTAGTTCAATAAATTTCCAAACAAATCCTCCACAGGATCACAGCGAAAATTACCCAATTTTTCAACAAAATAAAAATAAAAAACAAACATCTTATCAGATGGATTATTTATCTTCAGATGATGATTTCTTACAACCAGATATATTTGCACCATATACTCAAGAATATCGTGGACAAGGAATACAGAAAACACGTATAAATCATAGGAATTTTTCTCCACAACCGATAAATGCACAACATCAACAACCAATTCAACAGCAAAATCCAATTAATACACAATCTTTTCAACCAATTCAACAACAAAATCCAATGATTGCACACTCGTATCAACCAACACAAATGCAAAGTGAAATACCACTCCCATATTATCTTCAACAACATGAAATAACAAGAAACCAACTTTCAAATTTTTCTCAAATGCCAAATGCAGTAGAATCATTACAAATGACAATGAATCCATACCTTATGGGTGGATCATCAATAACATCAAACAAACCTTTAATGGTTTTCACAGGAACAGACCCTGAATACTCTGTAGAAGATTATTTAAATGCAGTAACAGCAAACTTGATTTTAAACATCGGACCTGAACCAATTAATACGCCACTACATCAAAACTGGATACATCGACGCACAGCGTTGATGCAAACAACCTTAGATGGCGCAGCCCAAAAATGGTTTTCAGTACTACCTCTAGAAATAAAATCAAACTGGAAAAGGTTTACACAGGAATTTTCAAAAATGTTTGACTCCGAAAGAAACAAACAACAACAAAGAGTTTTATGTAATGAAATTCGCAGATTACCAAACGAAACCATCAAGCAATTAGCAGTAAGAATCGAAACACTAGTTCGGAAAGCATATTCACTAAATACACACGACTATAAAAACACAAAAATGACAGAAATCTT